TTTTTTTTTTTTGTATTCTTTTTTATGTTTCTAATCCCAACTCGAATAATTTATATTTTTATCGCTACCAAGATCTTTTTCCTAGTAATAAGTGATGACGAATATTAATTACCGGTTTTGTTTCAGAAGTTTCAAGATTTTTTTTAGCAAGATTTTTGTTTATATAATAATTAATAATTAAATTTTTGTTTTGTTGAATATAATTTGTTGATTAAATATCGTAATAAAAGAAATATAAAATTGTTAAAAATATTCTTATACTATATTTAATTTATTAGTTTTTTTTATTAAATATAAATTAATTTTATAGGTATGATAATGATTAATTTTTTTTTTTTAATTGAATTTTCTTAATTATACTAGATACTTGTATATATATTTTCTTTAATATGTTTTAACATTTTAAAAAATATTTAATCGTTTTTAAAAATAATAATTTGTGCGCGTAAATGTCTTAATCATGCTTTTTATCATTTTTTAATTCTTTAATCTTTTATTCATTAAAAATAAGTAATAAAAGTCTTTTTTTTTTTATATATCTTATTCGTAACGATTTGAATGATATGAAAATACGTGTATTTGAATCTTTTTTTTGTATAATATTTTTAATATTTGCTCTTACAAAGAATAAATTTTTAAAATGAATTTTAAGAATTTCAATGTATAAGTTAATAAGTTATATTTGTATTTATATTCTTAGCATCAAGTAGATATTATCAAATAGAGTATATCGAGAGTTGTTAGAAAATTGATCATAAACGATATCGAATGTTAAGATATCAAGCGAATGTTAATCCAAATAAAAGACTGTAAAGCGTGAGAGATGATGAAACTGAGCGAAATAGATCGAATTTCAAAACATAGTTACTGCTGTCGGTTTGGCTTTCTCTCCCTCACGGTGCGTTTGAACAAAAACTTCAAATTCCGTAGCGAGATAACGCCACGGGCAAAATTGTCAGTATGATTTGATACCAGCCAAGGCAAAACTAACGTTGGCGTGGCCACCTATGGAAAAGTCCGATAACTAACAAAAAATAAGTACGTGTGGAATCAAGAGAAATTGAACCGAATCATGGAGTCGTTCGTCAATTTATGTACGCGTGAAAGTCACTAGTGTGCGCAAGCGCGTGTAGGCTACCACTAATGCTTTTTTCGCCATCGCGAAATATCCGGAGCGTTTTTCAATTTATTTCATAGATTTCTCTCTCACGCGCTTAGAAATATCATCTTACAACGTGTTACGTAATTCTACTTTTTTTTTTTCTTTATTTTTTATCCATTATGTAAATGATACTGATCATAAAATATTAAAAAAAAAAAAAAAACTATTTGCAAAGCAAAATTTTTAATATTATTATAATAATGTTTTTATACAACATTTGAAAGAAAAACCGCGCAAACAAGAACGTGAATAAGTGTTTGAAAGATAATTAGCCTTTTTAATTTGATTTCTAGATTTTCTATAAAATTATGCGGCTTGTAACGCGGAGCTTTCCCATGTTTAGTGGAATTCTACTTTCACACGGTGCAATTTTTTCAAATGATACTCGTGCGTGTAGAACGAAAAGAAGAAGAGACAATTAAAAACACCAATAGAATAAAGCGTGAGGTTTTAACGAAGAACAAGGTGTCGAACCATCTACTCGGAAACGTGGCTAATCTCCGGCAAAGAAAAAAGAACTCTCGGGTTGTTGCATGTCGAGGATGCGCTGTGCCGCGGAGAAATCTCTTTGATTTTCACACGTTACGTCCAAAACAATATTCAAGCGACGTTCGCACGACGCAAACCGAATTGATTTCCTCTTTTTCCCGGACCTGCTTTTCCCAAACTTTTTCATTTTTATTTTGTCCTATTTTTTTTTCATTTATATTATTGTTTATTTACCTTTCTCACTTGTTATATAACTTGTTTTTTCCATCTTTTTTAATTTGCAAAGATTTAAGAAATTCTCATACACAAATTATCAAACGAAGTTTCGTCGCAAACGAAATGAAATCGAATTTCATCGTT